CGCGCCAGCCGCCCACCCCCCTCGCCCCCCCGCCTGCCGAGGGGGCTCGGAGATGGAGTCGCGGCAGGCGGTAACGCGCCAGGAGCGATCGTTTCGGAGGGACGCTTCGGCAAGGTTTAAGGGCCAGTTAAACAACCGTTTGCCGCCTGGAAGCGCGCAGCCGCGGGGCGGGATCAGGCGTGCTGCTGGTGAGGATCAGCACTCCTGCATCCTGCAGACGGCCTCCACGGGGCTCTGCCATCCGGGAACCCCCGAAACACCACCGGGAAGGTAAATTCCCGTATCCCTAATGGCGTGAAGGGGTAGAAACTGTTCCCCTGGTGAATCTTTCTCTTCCCCTGCCATCGTTTTGGCAGGCTGGCCTTTGCCACTGCATGTTGTGTCAGAGGAGACATTTCCGCTGCAGCCTGGGGACCTGTGCTTGGGTCTCCCAGCTCCTGTATTTATACATCCTGCGTAGTTCTAGGTAATCAGAAAATGCAATATCGCTGTCACCAGCTCTCTGAAGACATCCAGCCTGAGTAATTTAACATGTCAGCACCATCCATCATAGAGACGCAACCAGCAAACAAACGAAAAAGCAGCCAGAGGGGGCTGGGACGTGGCTGGCTATGTGGTCCGCTGGACGGCCCGTTTCCCCGTGACGGGCGTGAGCACGCGTGTGTTAACCTCCGCAGGGGCCTAAGAGGGAGAGTGCTGCTCCTTCTGTCCTCTGTGGTCTCCAACTGGGGAAGAAGCTAAAGGCAGAAGCCTTCTCACCGCTGCTCCAGGTGCCGCGTGTGTGGCAGGAGGAATGCCACGTGTCAAAACTCGTTTTTTCTTTGGTTTTTGTCCAGGTGAGTAGCCACCATCCTGAGGTTCTTCTGGATTTCAGATCTTGTTCTGAATAAAGGCCACAGAGTCCCACCTCGCTTCAAAGCCAGGAAGGCAGCTGGTTCGGTTCAGATGCAGAGATCATCCCCAGTCGCTGCTGGGGCTCCTGTAATATCCGCAAAGCCTTCGCAAGCGTGTTGCTGGCTCTGCGCTGTGTCAAGCTAAACCTGGTTATCTCCACTCCCTGTGGGGTTTTCTTCCAGACTGTTTTTGCAACTAAGGCAGCTTTCATATGAAAATCCCCCCGCAGTAACGATTGCTGTCTCGTGGTGTGCTAGCCCTGGCGTTTGAAGGAAACGTCGCCTGGCAGCTTGCTCTGGCAGTACGATGAGGCCCCCGCCTCCGTTGTGCGTTTAGCGGTCTTTGGGGCATAGACGTGAAGGTAGCCCGGTCTTCCAGCCCCAAAGCCTCCATCTCTGGAGCTCAGGGCACTGCGTTCAGGCTGCGCGCAGGTGGCATGACAACGTATACGAAGCTGTTCCTGCATGTTGATAATCCCTCACTGGTGCGTTAACACATCCCAGCCGTTTGCTATCTTTTTAGAACCCTAATGAAAATATTCAAGTAGCATCAGGTAATTAATGGGCACACTTTAGTGCCCTAAATCATGCTCAGTAGTAAAACGCCAAACAGTAGGCACTGTTTACAGCAGCCTGAATCATCGCAGAGTCCTTAATTGGCCACTGTGCCATCTGATTTAACTCGACGCTTTCCAGGCCAGGCCTGACAGGCTATTTCCATGCATTGAGTGCTTGAGAGCTGTTCTCCATGCTCGTCTTCCCACAGTGCCCCCGGACAGGCTGGGTTTTGGGGGGAGCTTCGCTCTGCCATGACCCCTAAACTGGTGCATGTTGCAGGACGTGCCTGAGGAGATGGAGCCTGGGGAGCCCGGCGCGCGTGTGAACCTGCACCCAGCGATGTCTCCTGTAGTCCATATCTGCAGTGGCCACTGCTCGGTGCAGAGGAGGTGCCGGCAGTTCCCCGCCTGGCAGGGAGAGGGGACGTACAGCAGAGCAGCCCCAGGAAACTGCAGCCTGCCGTTGCTGGACGGTAGCCCAAGGACTCGGGTTAGAAACCCAGCCCCCCTATAACTTTTCTCACTGATGAGAATAAGCCATCCTGTTTTTTGCACTCTCTGTGGTGCCCGTTACGAAACCCAGGCCCTGGTCCGCAAGTATATTCTGAAGTCAGATGTTCCCTGTGAAAAGGGCGCGCGAAGGCGGCCAGGCAGTGGCTTATATTTAGCCTTTGTGTGAGTCCATAAAGCCCCTGGACCCCATGTGCAAGCCCTAAACAAGTGTTGCCTGCTGCCTTTGGGAGGAAAGGACTTGGCAGCACCTTTTCCTGCTCCCCTTTGAGGGTGCCCTGTGGGTACCGTGCTGTTGGGTCAGGGCATGGATGGAGCAAGAGCACGTCCACCTGCGAAAGGCCACGCGGGAACGCAGAGCTCCTGGCGTCTCTCTGGCTCTTTCCACCCACCTCTCATGGTGATTAAGGATTTTACAGGGCAGAAGGCAGCACTCTCATTTTCTGTTCTCCTGCCAAGAAGTGTGGAAATTGTACTTATGCCTAGAATAAAGGATTTTTTTTAAACAGTAAAATATTTTAATGGCAGTTTAAAGGGCTACTGTCAACCCCGGAGGCCTCTTTTCTTTAGACTTTCTCTAAGTATTGAAAGACTTCTGCCAGTTAGATTCTCGATCGCTTTTTTAATGTCTGTCACTCCTTAGTGTTTGAGTGCTAACGCACGGAGGCGGCGCTGGGGTCCGCTTGGGGAAAGGAGCCGGATACGTGCAGACACCGCTTCACCGGCAGGGCACGCACCTGGCTCTGAGCACCAATCTCACTCCGGGAAGGAGATCTGGAGCTGGCTGTTGTCTGTCCTGTAAATCAAGGCAGGCAGACTTCATCGACTGTGAGCAAGCCCTGTTCATCACCACTGTTTTTATATGGGTTATTTATGGTATCGGAGCCCAGTTGTGCCAGACGCTGTACGAGCGCGTACTGCCGGCTGTCTCACGGCTGTTTGGACAAGCTGATGCTATAGACAGGCAAAACGAAGAGGGTGCTGGGTGGGGGAAACCAGACCGCAGCCACGCTGGTGGCATTGTAAATGTGCTCTTGAGGGCTGTATTCACCGCATCTCTTATCTCTGCTGGCTTTTCTTTGAAGCAGACACCTAAAATGCACTGTATTTCACTGTGTGGGTATCTCAGGGGAGAGCAGCTTCTATGTGCAGATTCTCTTTGAAAATTACATTGCAATTTTCTAGGGGGTAGGAACCATCTTCTCACATTTATATTATGCTCAGCACGATGGAGTCTCGATTCTTGACAAGGGCAATAAGGCACCAGTGAAATCACGAGTGGCAGAAGTCCCCTGTCCCTTCTGGTGACCCCCACCAGAGCATCAGGGCCAGGCAGCTGTGGAAGCTGGCCGAGGCCACCAGCCTTGCCACGGTGCTCCCAGCGACCTCACGCTGCTGTGCAGCCCAGCTGACAATACTGATTTTTTTCTCCTCGATTGCCTGCAGGTGGTATCGGGTTTGGACGTGCCAAAGGAAACTCCGGCTCAGAGGCAGACGATGAAACCCAGCTAACCTTCTACACTGAGCAGTATCGGAGCAGGAGGCGAAGCAAAGGTAACCATGAAGTGACCATCAACCATGCAAATGAGACAAAAACGGACAGTCAGGATGGGTTGAGCACCTTGACTGTATCCCTGGGTGGTGGGTGCTGTTTGATACTATGTGACGCTAGGTAAGGAGTAAGACACCAACCTTACGGTATTGGCTGAGGTATCCCAAGGTGTGCCATTTCTGTGATATGGCACGACACAGGAGCCATTAGTAGCATTCCCCAGTGAGTTCCTTGTTTTGTCTGCTGGTTTCAGCATTCCCAAGCAAGCCCCTTTCCTCTGTGCTGCTGCTAAGCTGGAGGTGAAACCCCACCAGCAGAAATGGGCTGGTCCCCAGTTCTCAGTTTGTCGCTAACTGTGGGGGGAGCCAGTCTATCAGGGCACCGATAAATCACAGATCTATTCGAAGGGGAAACTACAGCCAATTGTGTTTACTGTGCTGTTGGTCAGTGTGCTTGGCTGTGCTGAGGGTTGTGCGACCCTTTTTTTCTATGAATGGGAGATTTCCGCCATCAGGCACGCGTGCTATGGCGTACGCTTCACTTCTTGTAGAGCCGCACCGGTGGATGATGACTGCCTCCGTCTACGTCCTGGGGCTGGTGTAGCTGTAACCACTGTTCACCCTCGCAATACCTTGAGCTAAACAAGACTAGGGCTTCTCTTTTTTGCCCTTTATTTCCTGTGCGAAGGTCCTGTCTCACTGAAATTTCCCATACTTCCTCTCAGCACAAAAGCAATTAAAAGGAACAAATTCAAAATGAGAGCTGGGGCAGGGATTTGTAGACAAAAGTCCCTTCAGGCTTTTTGTGAGTTAGAAGAGCTGAGGAAATAAAATATCATCCGCAGTCTGAAATTAGTGTCCACGTTTCCGCTAATCACATAACACCGACTCGTTTTGTTTAGGAATCTCAGACCACTCCTATGCCTGGTCTTCTGCACAGGACCGCAGGACCTTTGCTGTTGCTATTGCTACATTTGAAAAACCACTGTTAAGAATTAACAGCACTGGGAAGCAATTTAAGAATTGCACAGTGGGTCTGCTCCCTCCATTTGTTTTCCTTGTTAAGCCAAGCATTGGCAGAAAGCAGCATTGCAGATAGATGCCTGCACCTACCACAGTAAATGCAGCTACGTTTATTTCAATGATTAGACGTTCAGATAAATGCTCACAATGTGTTTATTTCAATGTGAAATTACCTCAGCACCTATGATCAGCTTGATGATTGCACATTGGAATAAGCACACGCTCACAGGCATATTGCATTTATTCCTTTGGAAAGGCAGTGAATTCAAATTTATTCATGTGTTTTAGAACCAGGAGAAATTCTCACTGAGCGTAAAATGAGCTTTTAATGAAAAGGAAGGAGGCAATTCAAGAGTTAAAGTTACCTATTGTGGTATTAGCCTAGCCTTGTTAAGGATAAAATGATTTGTGTTGTCCAGTATGGAAGAAAAGGAAGAAATTTATTCTGTTGCAAACAACAGAAATGGTCCTGAAAAGTCGATGGCGCAAGGAGAAAACTTCAGAAGTATCTTTTTTTCAGTGAATTATTCTGAAATACTGGACTTTGTGAAATTCCTTGGGTACTTTAGAAAAGTTGCTGAAGTTTGTTTTATTCAACTAGTGGATTAGAACAAGGGAGGGTGGAGATGGTGCACTAGCAGATGTGGAAAATTGTCTTACAATGTAAAGCAGATATAGCTTTGCTTTCCTGCTGTCTTTATGCCATTCTCCCTTAGGTCAAGTACACTGTCAGTCTCCCAACACGCACTTGTGCTGCATACCTAGTACAAAGATATTCTTATTGACATATATGTTGGTTTGAGTTGTTTGTTTATGCTTCCTTGTATAGTAAATATAAAAGAATAGATAAATGGGAAAATTCCTTTATTGCCTTTGAATAAGGACTTGTTCACCTGGGCAACTTTGATGACTGGGTTTGGCAGGAATTCAGTAAGAAGAGCTGCCTTGCATAGTTGCACAAAGCTGGCTTTGTTAGATCCACATAAGGGTTTGACTGAAGCTGCAAGAACCTGGTTTATTCGTAGTTCTGGTTAAACAAAGGATGCATCTTGCATAAAGTTCCCCCGGTATTTCCTCTCCAGTCTAGCTAAATTTTGCCATCACTGCGTCCTTGAAAGGAATTGTCTATTATCCTTTCATTGACTCTCCTCTCCCTTGTGGAAGGAAGGCAATAGCTTAGTGGGAAGTCACAGTACCGACCTCATAATTACAAGTACAGCAAAGATCCATAATTGGACAAGATCATAATTCTAATAGAGAAGGACGCATTGTCAGATACAGTTAATTCTTACAGTGATGTTCCCATATTGATTCAGCGATGGTTGCGTGTCCTTGCAGGTGCTGTGAGATAGTTATCAGGCCCAAGGAGAGAGACATTCGTTGTGATTTCTCTCCTTAGACTAGCTTTTGCAGGATTGAGCATGATTACTGATACTCTCAAGGCATTGATCACAGCGGATGTGATGAGAAGTTTCCACTTAGGTGGTGTGCAGGATCATTTTTACTTTGTGCTTTGTTGAAGCAAGCTAGTTAAGTGGTTATAGGTTTTATTTGTCCCTGTAGAAGAAAGGCTGCAGATTTCACAGGGCCTGAGGATGTGCTTGACAAGGTAAATTAGAGGGACGTTCCCACAGGTAAATATTGACTAAGGGAGAATACTGTCTATAGCGTGATGTATCTGGCTGTCCTAGTATCTCAGGAACAGCAGACTTATTGACATCTGGTTTTCAATACTCGAATACATAGAGAGAGAATTCTGATTAGGCCGGGCACATAAGCTGTGACAACCTAGGCATTGCTTGTCTGTGGTCTCCAGTATGCTGCACCAGATGTCTTCCCATTTTTTAGGTCTGTAGGATCCCTTAATGTTCTCCCGTCTTTGGAAACTCTTTAGAGAAGTTGAGAGGAAGCATAAGAAGTAAAGCAAAAGAGAAATTCCCTTGGAGCCTTGTTCGTTGTGTTGGGCTCAGTCCAATCTCTGCTAGAAACTGGAGCCTGGGATTTGAGGTGGGAAAAACAATGCTGATCAATGGTGTCTCTGAGGAGCTGGCTGATGCCAGGATACATTTTTTGTTAGTGCGTGTATGCTCTCTTAACACTAAACTTCAGTGAGGCATCCGTGTACCTAATCACAGCACCGTGCCAGAGCCTGCACTGACTCTCCGTCCACTGCTCCTTCATGATGGATCAGTGTGACCTCCGAACCTCCTGGGCTCACAGGAGCTTTTGATGGCAGCTAGATCACAAAGCTCACTGCGTTGCTGCAGTGCAGTCTCGAGGGATCATGAGACATACTGCACTTGAATTTTGACTCAATACTTGATTTTAGCTCTCCGCAAATGAAACCCTCGCCATACTACAACTCCCAAGAGAACAGGAGAGAAAAAAAATTGACGCCGCTCTCAAAGAAACAGCGTGCAAATCCTGAAACAGCATGGAGGGCTATATGGAGCTGAATGCTCAGAGGCTTTAGAGACGTTCAGCTACGGTAGGGAATGGTTTTCTCCGTTCTGAGAGCCCTCATTACTGACTCCGCTACATGATGTTTCTTGCAACCTGTTCATGTTTGTGTGCTGCAGAGACCACTATCTCAGTCACCAGTGCTCTGCTTGAGAGACTCTCTTCTCTTTCCCACTCCTCTCTGAAAATTAGGGAACATGGGAACGGCCTCGTTCGTTCCCATCAGCGGAGAGCTGGCACAGAGCGGGATGGGGATTGCGTGCCGTCTGTGCTGCGCGGACAGCTCTTGTCTTCAAGGCTGTCAGTCAATGCACGTTTCACCGGTGCTAAAGTCTACAAAAGAACCTGCCAGTGTTTTAGAGATGCTGATCCACGTCCCCTGCTGCCCATCATGGGAGATTTCAAGCTTTGATAATTCTCTCGTTCCTGTGCAGCGTGGGATGTGCTCGGTCAGGCCCTGCTTCTGAGTTTGGTGAAAGTAATAGCAAAAAAAATACCAAAACAAAACAAAAAAAGGGAGGCAGGAACCCAAGGAACCCATAAACGAACCTTTCTTGCCTGTTGAATTGCTCCCTCTCCGTCGCCCTCCTCCTCTTGGGAGTGGTGGCCTTAGCCTTCTGCTCGGCTGTATCCCCAGCTTTTCTCCCTGCCTGACCCAGGAAATGTATTCAGCTGTGGGTCTGACTTAGCAGCTCCACGTTCCTCTGCTGACCTGCGTTGCCTACCAAATGCCTGTTAAAATAGAGAGAGAAGGGAGGGGGGGGAAAGAAGCAGCATCGTAATTCCAAGGCTGCATCAGACTCTTTGCAGCGGCAGCCTGGCCCGCCTGGCTCCGCTCTGTGCTGTTTGTCAAGGACTTAGTGAGTCTAATGAGGCCCCACGG